CAAGACTAGAGTGAATGAATGTCTATCATGCTGCATTGAAGCTGTCTTTGAAATGTATGCATGTGCACCATTTTCACATAGCAAAAATGAGTCACCCCACCAATCTGAAATGTCACTAGCAACCATTATATTCCCCAAAACAAAAAATATCAATTCATCAAATTTCAATTGTCATGCAGCAGACATAGTAATATTCTAGCCATGTTCCCTTTAAATAGCAGCGAGCTGTTAGCCTTTTAAACCTGTTTTGAAATTTGCTGTAGGATTTTTGACACTAACGCTTTAGCTTTTAAGATCTTTGATCTTACCAAAATTATATGTTTGCAATGGTGTTTGACATAAGCAGTGCAGATAAACGGTTCCTAAATGCCCATTATTACTGTATGCAGAAGTTGAAACACTCAACCAACTGTAACTGTTAAAGTTCAATATAGGTTTTATTCACTAAACACTGAAATATAGTGAATTGCTAAATTTAGGCACAAATACATAATATAGAAAACCTTTCGAACCTCTTTGCAATTAGTTTTTTCTTTCTCTACAGGTCACACGGTTATTAACTAAACTATATACTGAAGCAAATTAAAATAAGGATGGCAAAAAGTAGGCTAAAATAGACAAGCTTTGTCTATAGATAGTTGAAAAAATGCTCTACATTAGATGTTTCGTACTCAGTTTTTTCATTTGTATTTTCATTTGCTACAAGTTGAAATTTAATGTACAATTATCTATCCATGATACATACTCCATGACATGCTCAGGTATCACACCGTTATTATCTACCAGTAGGATTTGCTCAGGTGTCCTGTTAAATATTGATTAGCCTGGAACGTGGGTACACAAGAATTCAACCTGTTTTTGGACTTCAGATGCTAGTTTCAGTTGATAGAACTTTGAGCGCAACAATAACATGTGTGTCAAAGGTAGATTATGGATGGAAGTGGAAAATAAATGTACTGCTCATTTTGTTCGTCAGTAACATCTGTAAAATGCTGTGAACACAAGTCTTTTTAATTAATATTTTCAGTGGCACAAACAACATCTAGCATGTCCACTTTTAAGGATAAAGAATTGCATTTGCTTTCTTTAGTATATAATAAAATCTAATAATAACACAATATCAAAATGATGTATACAGAATATATGAATATCAGATAATATGTAGATAAAGTATTCTAAAACATCATAAATACCATGCTTCACAAAGAGACAAGTGATATTTACCAAAAATAGTATAGGGTTACCTCAAAATCATGAGACAAAATATAGGAAGTAATAAAGATAAAACATGTAAATGTGCATGTGAGGTAAACCCTCACATGCAAAAAAACCTTTAGGTTTGGGGGATTGTGAAAGGTGTGAAGGTATAGGAGAGGCATTTAGCCACAGGGCACAGGTTTTTACATAGCCACTTCACAAATACAAACTAAATAAACAATAAAAAAATACTTGCATATTGAATTATTTAAGTTTTCCAAGTACCAATGAACAATGTAACGTACCCATATTTTTTTTGTACTTCTTGTATATTACATTGTCACTATTTAAGGAATCTGTCAACTAAATTTATACTGACTTTGAAGTCTGACTGGAACAAGTTGAATTGGTAAAAACAGAATCTCTAAGTCGGCTCTTCACTAAAAGGAAGTTCTTTACAAAGTCACTTATTATAACCAACTCACGTTGCCCAGCTCAGTAAAAGCTTGATAGTGCTTGAAAAATAGCTGGTTTGTTGTTGCAAGTATAGTAAGTTGGTTATTGACCAAATAGCCACTGGAAGATGGATAACCATAGAGGTTTCAAGTTGAAATGCCTAACCAGCGTGGCTTAAAGGTGAATTTCTTAATAGAGTCAGGTCATATAATAGGTCAGGAAATTCTGGTTTTCAACACTTCAAAAAGTCTGCTGGCATCATTATGTAAAAAAACAACAACATTTAAATAAATAAAACAAACTGGAGGCAGACAAGTCAATAAACTACGACAAACACAGGCCAGTAAACAAAATGTATGTATTCCTCCTAAGCAGGGACACCTGTAGAATTGTCCCCTATATTCTCGAAACTATGATAAAGATACGGATCTGGTTCACCTTACTCTTTCCTCAATCTTATAGCCAGTGGATTGGATTACAATAATATTTTTTCAGGATTCCCCTAGACATCATATCAGCTAGGGTACAGCCATAAACATCCTCCTATGCTATTATCCCATACATTGAGGGATTGAGATAAGAAATAGATGCAATGAGAATGATGGCTTACAGGATTCCAACTGCTGAAACAGTTGTCTGTAAGATCTGATTTTGCTATTCATTGTTTGCATTTATGTCCCGTCCCCCATTATTTCTTATGGTTGCATATTACTATGGCTAGAAGATGAAAATATTTGGGGATTGGCGAATACAGCTAATATTAAGCACCAATTAAATTTCACGAGTTTATCTTAATATGGAAAGTTTAAGGAAGATATTCCTCTCAAGAGTGATTAAGGTATATGGGCTCTACAGGAATTTTGATATCCAATACAAGCATTGTACACATTGCCCACTTCTTTGGGGAATGTAGATCGGGAACCACAAGTCCACACAATCACTTATGGTAACTACTCACCTCTACATGTGGGCTAGGGGTACAAAAGAAGGTATGTAGCATCCTTGAACATTTTATTAATTTCCCATCTAAAAAGACAAAGCAAGAGATGTAGGGGAATTATTCCACTGTTGAGTACAATATTAACCTAGAACACACATATGAGGTGTAAGAAGAGGGAAAGCCATTGGTTTGGTCCCTCAAAATTAGGAAGTCTAGGAAAAGCTACTTTCATTCTACACCCCACTAGCTTCCGTTACTAAAGCTACTTATTGGACTACTTGAAACAATTGTTTTTCCAGCAGACTCGCTTTAAAACAGATGAAAAGTCTGATTTTTGATGAATGGACCAAATTTTATGTTATCATTCTCAACATAATAACCACCTACCTGATATAGCAACCAAAACAATTACTAATCTGTAGCCTTTGTGTGAGACTAGATAATATCCACTTTGGAAAGAAAGTTAGCTTATTTCTCAGGTAATTACATTTATTAATGTGATAAGAGTTATTCCTAAATAACAATTGTAATCATATTAATATAGAAAACAAAACAATTATCCTTCTTATGGCTTCACTATAACAAAATTGCCCCAGAATTCCCCTTAATAGATAAGTCCCATATGTTTTCCTTGGAAGACATTGTATAACTACTTTGGAATCTATTTTCCCCCCTATTTTTACCACAAAATTTGAGACTTTATATTTAAATAAGTGATGCACAAAATCTAATTTATCACACAACCGACTATCACTGAGAATGTTTTCTCATATTTGTCTTGTGAGTTAATGAAATACTCTAATTGTTGCAGTTGTAAATACAGCAACCATTTATTGATTTTTCTAATCATTTGAATTAGGTCCCTGCTTTCATTTTTTATGAATTGAAATAGGCATTTCCCCAGTGACAGTTATACATTTAGTTTTCACTCCCAAAGCATGGCTTCCCTGCTTGGTGATTCATTTAAAAAAAATATATATATATAAACACAGATAAATTAAACAAGGCACACACAATCAAAGTATTGTGTAGGTGACCAAATGATTGCTTTACTGTGCATCACTGTCACTTCTCCCCCCTCTGCATAATAATGATGACTTATTCTGTGTGTGGAGGTTGCCATGAAACCAGAATGGCAATATTGTCATGACAGGATCTGATAAAGGAGGGGGTTTAATAAATAATAAAATCATATCCCCACTAATATTTGTATGGTTTGCAGCCAGTGACTAAAATACACAAGTGATTTATACTTTACATTTTATCTTACACCCAATAATGATTATTTACAGATTAAATCTCATTACTATTGCTCCTGAATATATTACTTTTTTTTATTTATTTTTTTTAAATATGTTGACAGCTCCCTGATTAGGTAGATATCCCATTTGGACAATAGCCAGCCAGTCAATGACTCATTTACTTATTTGTGGTGGATATTTTAATATAAAATGATGAATATAATAGATAGGTGTGTGTATATATATTTATTGTACTAAAGCCAAGCTCTGCCTTCACGTGGAGCACTGTGCTAAATGAATTCAGCATTGTTTTTTTACTTTCATACTACGTATAGCACAGCACACTGACTGACACATCCATCATAAAAAAAGGACAAAAAACGTAACATTTAATTTATTTATGTTTTAGTGCGACATTGTACACATGCTTCAGCCTGCCATTTTACTTAACGTTTTCTTATCCAGTGACATATTTTATACGGCAAACATCGTGTACGTATTATTTTTTTTGTTGTTGTTTGAAGGGCGTGAGAGGAGAAATGATTTTAATTTCATGTATTTATATATTTTTATTATTATATGCAGCTTGTAGGCTAAATGACGCATGATTTGTCACGGTGTGTGGAATGGATGATTAGGTTACTGCGCATAGGAGCCGTGAACGCTACGCCGCATCCATTTGTTTTGCGTGTTTTCGCTGACACCATCCCCCCCCCCGATTCCCTCCGATCCGTAACCGACTCTCCCCAGACTGTTGTTTACTTCTCCTCACAACCAGCCAGGAGTTTCCCGCCCACCGAATGGGGCGGTACCCTCAAAAAAAAAAAAAAAGTGGCTCCAACCAATCACAGCACGCCAAACCTTAACTGGTCTCAACCGCGGCCAATCCCTTCACTTGTAAGCCCCGCCCCATTTCTTCTGCCCGACCTCCTTTACTACTGTCCGTCTTTTGCAGCCAACGTCGCGCGCTCCTCCCCTGCAGCTACCAATCACAGCGCTGTTTATATCCCACAGCGTGAGTAGAAAAAAAACAACCTATGGGCGGGGCGTCACTCGCGGAACATTTTTTAGGTGACGCCCCCCATATATCCGCTCGCCAGATTGGTCGGTTAGCTTGTCAATCACTGCTGCCAGATCCACCTGGCACGGAGGACTGTCGAGGAGGGCGCAGGTGACGCAGGCGGGCGGGGTCACGTGTTGTTTTCGCCGTGTCGCTCTCTCTCCCTCCCCCGCCGGAGTCTGTCTGTGTGAGTGCGGCTAGTAGCAGGAGAACCCGGTGTGTGTCCCGGCCAGTGAGGAGACTCCGCTATCCCTCACAGGGCGCCATGTCCGCTCCATAACTGCCGAGCTCGCCGTGTGTCGGCTGTTTAATTCATTCCTCCCTCAGCGAGCAGCCGGCGCTCTCCTCACACGCAGCCCCTCCATGGCGGGTGTCCTGAGCACCGAGGAGGACCGCAGCAGCCGAGCCGCCATGAGGGCGCTGCCCCCCAGCCCGGAGGAGGGCGCCTACCGGCGGGCGGGCGGCCCGGGGCTGTCCCAGGTGCAGGAGGAGTGTGTGAGCGAGGCTCCCGCCGCCGTGTCCGGGGAGGAGGATGTGAGGAAGCGCGGCTACCTGAGGAAGCAGAAACACGGCCACAAGCGGTACTTCGTGCTGCGGAGCCAGAGCCACCTGGGGCCGGCCCGGCTCGAGTACTACGACAACGAGAAGAAGTACCGGAGCGGCCAGCGGGGCGGGGGGGCTGCCGGGGCCGCCTGCCATCCCAAGCGGGTCATCCCCCTCTACCTGTGCTTCACCGTGAGCCGCCGGGCCGACGCCAAGAACCGCTACCTGCTGGCCCTCTACACCAAGGACGAGCACTTCGCCATGGTGGCCGACAGCGAGCAGGAGCAGGACTCCTGGTACCAGGCCCTCAGCGAGCTCATCAACGAGAGCAAGAGGGCCTGTCTGGACAGCGAGGAGCTGGAGGAGAACTACGGGCCCCTGAGGGCCGGCACGGTGTTCAAGGAGGTCTGGCAGGTGACAGTGAAGCCCCGGGGTCTGGGCCAGACCCAGAACCTGACCGGGGTGTACCGGCTGTGCCTGTCTAGCAAGGCAGTGCACCTGGTCAAACCCAACTCGGACGTGACCTGCGTCCACTTGCTGCTCATGAACATCCGACGGTGCGGCCACACCGAGAACTTCTTCTTCATAGAGGTGGGACGCTCGGCCTCCACCGGCTCAGGGGAGCTCTGGATGCAGGTGGATGACTGTGTAGTGGCCCAGAACATGCACGAAATCTTCCTGGAGACCATGAAAGCCTTAAAAGCGTACTCGGAGTTCAGACCCAGGAGCAAGAGCCAGTCTTCGGGTACCAACCCCATATCTTTTATCACTACCAGGAGGTATTTGGGCAACCTGCCTCCTAGTCAGACAGGACTACAGAGAAGGTCCAGGACAGAAAGTTTGGCTGGTACTCCACCTACGTCCAAAAACAACTCCTCCTACCGCTTTAGGACCTCCAGTGAGGGTGAAGGTACAATGACAAGGCCCTTCAGGTCAGTGACTGGTAGTTTGATACACTTAAGTGCTGCCCGGATAAATCTAGGAAAGCAGGAAGGTACTGTCAGATATGTGAGAGCACCCTTTAATTCTGGGTACCACACCAGGTCTGCCTCATTGCCAGTCTCCCAAAATCTATCTGGTACAAGTCCTATCAGTGTTAGTTCAAGTAGTGTGAATGGATCTGCACCTGATACACTAAATAAACCATCAAGTTCTTCTACATGTGGATCTCCTAGTGATGGGGGATTTATTTCCTCAGATGAATATGGCTCAAGCCCTGGTGATATAAGGTACTTTCGTGTCAGGAGTAATACTCCAGATTCACTGGGAAACACCCCTCCAATTCAAGAAGAAAATACCTTAAGTGAGTACATGTCAATGAGCACCCAAAGCAATCCTGATGCTCCAGATGATTACATGGAAGGTGACAAAGGTTTTAGGAAAAGAACATACTCGTTAACAAAGCAAACCAATCCACTACAGCAAAAATCCCAGACAGCCATTTCTTTAGAAGAAGACTCAGAAGAGATTAACAAGCAGTTTGCCTACTCTGAATCACCAAAGTTGAAAGACAGCAATCACCCAGAGGATTACAATAATGGTATTATTGATTCCCTTTACAACCAAAGCAGGAGTAAAGCCAGGGATGATGGCTACATGCCAATGATGCCTTCTCATTCATATGACAGTGACTATTTGCCAATGGCTCCTAAAAGTGTTTCTGCACCAAAACAAATAGCTAATAGATGTTCTCCTCAGGCAGATTCAAAAGGGTATATGATGATGTTTCCTGTAGCTAATTCACCTGTTAGAAATTTGTATACTGGAAGTAACACTAAAGATAGCCAGGATAAAGTTACTAATGGAGGGTATATGGATATGTCCTATGGAAATTCTTCCACTGTGAAGCAGAATGGTACTAACCTCACTGGTAGTTCTAAAGGGTTTACATCTTATTTTTCACTACCTAGGGGCTTTAAGAGTAAAAATAATGATAACAGCGAGTATGTTCCAATGTTTTCCCCTGGAAAGTTACTGAATCAGGGGATTGAAAATATTGCTGATGTGTCTAGGGAAGGAACATCTAATGGGGTGGCAAAAGTTGAGTTAAAATCTTCCAACATTATCCTGGATCAACAAGACAGGGCTACAAGACCAACTAAACTTACCTTGGCTATGAGAGGGAGCAATACAATACCAAGAATGTTTGACCACTCTTCAGTTGAACCTACAAGTCCAGGAGAATACATAAACATTGACTTCAGTGATAAAGCAAGTAGTACTCCATATTCACTCTCAGCAGAAGGGTCTCCATCCTCTTTAGGATCAAGCTGTGACCATAGACACTCTCCTCTATCTGATTACATGAGTGTGGATATTGATGTGCAGTCTCCAAAAGCAGAACTATCTAATTCATTAACAGACATTTCAACTTATGCACGGACCAGCATTTCTCAAAATCAGCCTGGTACAGAATATGCTAAACTCCCAAGTGGTACAGCGTGTGTTAGCCCAACAAACCGAAATGATGACTACACTACCATGACTTTCAATTTGGCAATGACTCCTCCACAACCCCTTTCCAGTGAAAATGGAGCAAAAATTGATAGTCCTTCATCTATTGTGAATCGCCTGTGTATTGGTGAAGTGTCCTCTTTTAATGGTGGTTTCCCTCCAGTTCCCATCCCTACATCAGAATCTATAGCTGGTCCTAAAGTTATCCGTGCTGACTCGCATGGCCGGAGGCGGCACAGTTCTGAGACCTTTTCCTCTTCCAACACAGTGACTACTTCCTCATCTTGCTTTACTGAAAGTGGGAAAAGGCACAGTTCTGCCTCTTTTGACAATGTTTGGCTGAGACCTGATGAGAGTTGTGGTGAACAAGAGTGTAAAATGTCAAGAAATTGCTCCACAGGGTTTCAGAATGGCTTGAACTACATTGCGTTGAGCATGCATGATGGTGTCCATGAACCTGCACCAGCATTGTGCCATCAGCAGCAAAATGGGAGCAGAAATTTGGAGAGTGGTGCATATGTCAGCATTGACTTTTCAAGATCAGACTGTTTGAAGTGCCCTGCATTGAGAAAAGGTTGGTAGTATTAAAGGACCACTATTAAAATAAAAGTGCTTTTTTAATATTAAAAGGACCACTATAGGCACCCAGACCACTTCAGCTCAACGAAATGGTCTAGGTGCCAGGGTCCTCTAGTTTTAACCCTGCAACTGAAAACATAGCAGTTTCAGAGAAACTGCTATGGTTACACTGAGGGTTAATCCAGCCTCTAGTGGCTCTCACTGACAGCCACTAGAGGCCGCTTCCGCAATTCTCACTCTGAAAATCAGTGAGAAGACGCTGACGTCCATAGGAAAGCATTGAGTAATGCTTATGGGCTGTTTGAATGTGTGTGTGGCTCTTGCCGCACATGCGCATTCTGAGCTGACGTCGGCAGGAGGAGAGTTCCCTAGCGCTTAGGGTGCCCGGCACTGGAGAAAGGTAGCCCAGCGGGAGGGGGCCCATGAGGGTGGGTGGGACCTAAGGACTACATAGTACCAGGAAACAAGTTTGTTTTCATGGCACTATAGTGGTCCTTTAAGTCCACTATGAGTTGAGGCGCTTTTTATTTATGACCCTCACCATAAACACTTGTTTCAATGGGGAATAAAATATATATATCCCTCTCTCCCCCTCTCTCCCTCTCCAACATATTTCCCAGCTTTTTACAAATCTAGAAATGGGTTATTTGAAGGCTTTCCTCAAGAGTGCGTGGTACATATTGCCACTGGCTCTCCTCTTTCGCTGTATGCGCTTGAGGCTTAAAATCAGGCCAGTTCCCTGGCTATGCTTGGAAAAAGGGAGGACTTGCAAAGGCTGCAGGTGTAAGAACTGCAGTTGTTGCATTCTTTTTAGATTGCCCCAATGACAACATGCATGGTTTTCATTAGGAATATATCTACTAAATATTGATTTTTGTGTTCCTTAATGTAAACTGTATTTTAAAACTTTAATTTTCCTCTTTGTGGGTTTTCCTTCTCCAACAATTTATATAGCGTACTACCCATAAATAATTTACATATTAAATTCTACTTTTCAACTGGGGCACTTGTCTTGCTATAAATTACGAAATAACCATTTTCCCTACACTACCTCCTTAAAATCCTGCATGACATCTGTTTCAGCCATTTGTGCTGGTGCTTTGGCTGACTTGTTTGCCTTACAGACTGAGTTTAAGATATTAACTATCCATGTTCTACAGCTTGTGCGTGGGTATCTTGTTTACATGGAATTTAGATCTATAGCCTTATTTAACCGCTTGCTAAACTAACACTTGATTTACATACTATATGTCCATGTAGTTAACCTGTGTAGTAGTATTATTATTATTATTATTATTATTATTTATTTTTTATTTTATAAATTCTTTATTTTTGGGTTTTCAAAGGTCAACATAGTGGCTGGTTGGGGTACAGAAAGAAGAGTTTGGAAAAGTTTGATTTTCGTTTATGCAACATCATGTAATATTGGTAATCAGGTTAACAGTATTAGCAGTTGTAACATTCAAAGTTTGGTTGTACATATTGAGAGGCTATGCCGGGTTTACATTTTTCAGTTCAGTAGTTCTTTTGACATTTCTGTTATTTCATTGGGTAAAGGGGTGGATGCCTTAACATTGCTTTTAACCCTTTTAGTTGTGCTATGTGTTGACGAGGCTGGTGGTCCCCCTTAATTTCCCCTGCTTATGGTAGGGTTTTGTATCCCTAGGATACGTGGTCTCGTGTGGGGTGGTGTTTGCCGTGTACGGCCCTTTGTCTTGGTAGTTGGTCAGGTTCAGTGTGAAGTGTCCCTGAATCCACGTGTGGTGAAGTGGGCATAGCGGTTCCGCTAAGTGTTGGGAGTAGCGGTCTTGTTGGGGTACCAGTCTGGGGTGTGTGTGTGTCAACTGGTCGTAGCCTTCTTGCTGTGTGCCCATCGGTTCGGGATGGGTTGGTTGGGTGTGTGCTATAGTTTGGTTTGTAAATCTTGTTGATGGTATGTATTTTTTTTTTTTTTGTGGGAGTGTGTCGGTGGGTAGTGTGGAAGTTACCGTGTCCAGCACGATGTGTGGTAAGTTGTGTGTGTGCCATGTAGTGTAACCTGTGTATTTTTTTTTTTTAACTTTGCTCTAACCCCATTTGGACTGAAGTTTAAAGGACCACTATAGTGCCAGGAAAACATAATCATTTTCCTGGCACTATAGTGCCCTGAGGGTGCTTCCACCCTCAGGGTCCAACCCCCGCAGGGCTCTGGGGAGAGGAAGGGGTTAAACACTTACCTTCTCCAGCGCCGGGCGGGGACCCTTCTTCCTAGCGACGTCATCGGCTGAATGCGCATGCGCTGCGCGCATCCAGCCAGTCTCATAGGAAAGCATTCATAATGCTTTCCTATGGACGCTGGCGTCTTCTCACTGTGATTTTCACAGTGGGAAGCACGCAAGCGCCTCTAGCGGCTGTCAATGAGACAGCCACTAGAGGCTGGATTAACACTCGGTGTAAACATAGCAGTTTCTCTGAAACTGATATATATATATATATATTATATTTAAAAAAAAGGGGGTTAATCCTATCTGGACCTGGCACCCAGACCACTCCATTAAGCTTCATTCACTTGTTCTGCAAGGGTTAATTGACTATATACAATTGAACTAATAACTTGTACAGCACACCCAAACTTTCAAGTTCAGGACTCAAAACCCTTTAGAATAATGTTGTGTTCCTGTAAATGTAACTTTCAAATGTGCTGTACAGAGCATCTATGCTGTAAAGTAAGAATTGCACGTCTTTGCAGCAAAATGTGTGGTATTCATTGTAGTTTTTCCTTGGCAATATTTCTGGGAAGGAGTACGCATGTGCATTGTGCAGTGTTGTCTGGGATGCAAAATTCTGCAATTTCCTTTATGCTGAGAAATGCTAGTCCAACCACTATGGAAACAGTGTTTATTATTTTATAAATTGACTACATGTAAATTTAAATCCATAAAATCCCTCGTAGCTGCTAGCATATTTAATATTTAAATGTGCCTTTTATTTTGCATGTCTCTTGCACCTGTAACCAGTAAAACATATCCAAATACTGTGTGGGAGGGGGACAAAAAGTCTCTTCTCTTTTGTAAATTGACTCCCACGGTGTTCACATTTAATTTCTTTCAAAATTAAAGGGACATTGTAGGCACACAGACCACTTTATCTCAGTTAAGTGTTCTGTGTGCCTTGTCCCCTGTTTTAACCCTGCAAGTGTAAACATTACTGTTCTGCATTAACAGCAAAATTCTCAGTGCAGGGTTCAAAATGCCCATAGTGCCTGTCACTCTACCACTAGAGCTAGGAATAGAGTGAAACTATTTGTAACAGATGGTCTCATAGAAACAAACTGGCGCAGCACATCATTTTGCCGCCGATGTACCCTAGTCTCAATGTTTTCCTATGGAAAACACTGGATTGGCTGAGATAATCGATCACAGCCGAGGAGGCGGGGCAGTATTGCGGAGACCTAACCTTGTGGTAATGGATATCTAAACTGCTGCCAGGACAGTAAAGCATTAGGAATACACCTATTTTTTATTTTAACTTTTTGTTGCTTCAGCTTCCCAAATAGCAAAACACAAGGTCTAAACCTGTGTGTGTATGTGTGTATGTATATTCTTTAAAATCTGAATCTTTTAGTTTCTTTATGTTGTATGTATTGATGCAGATAAAGTGTATGGGAATCATGCATCTAGCAAAATATATTTTGAAATAAACCATTCTCATTTCAGTTGGTGGGCCCCCACTCCCCTTAGTAGTTCCATAATGTTGGTGTGTCTGAGGGTATAACAGAACTCCACAGCAATAATGCTTAGTCATGTAAGGAATGAGACAATTGAACAGGTTAAAACACAACCTAAAATTTGAGCTATGTTTAACCATCATTAGGTGCACGCCACTTTTATGTTCAGAGAAATAGGGCTTTCGTTTCATATGTAATGTTTATATTGGATGGAAGAGATGCCGTTTGGTGTTTGGCCCCACCTGCTTGACTACATTCTATGGGAAAGCATTGAACTGGCTATAATCCATTCTGATGTTGGCCAAGTAGGCAGTTTGGGACCAGCGCTGAAAATAAAAGTGAGTTTTACTATGATTTAAGGGAGCGTCAAGCCACCTAAATAGGTTCTGTCTGACAATCCATGCAAGTCCCCCTGCAGTCAATTTGTCAAACTTTGCGGTGCAATTACACAACACGGATTGGCTTCAGGGGTACAGCTTCGGTTGTGAGGCAGCCCTCACTGATCGGATCTAGTGCGGAGGGTAAGTGTCTGGAGTGCCCTAGAGTTGGCATGTTCAATACTGCCATATTGGCATTAGAGCCATTTTGTAGGACTAAATAGCACACTCTTTTTTTCAGAAAGGTGTTAAACTACATAAACAAAATCTTTTTTTCTAAAACTGTGCAAATACTTTTCAGTTTTGTTGAATTTTTAGCTGCATAAATTAGTATGCCACTTAAAATGTCCCACTACGGCTCTGCCCCGCCCAACACCACTTACACACCGAAAATTAAAATGTCCATCTTTGTCTGTTTCAAATTGTGGAAGATATGTGACTGGTGGGGAAATGGGCAAGCTTGCATGCGCTTATGACATTTCTCTACAGATTCCCAAGTGTGCAAAGTGTCCTGATGACATGGCAAGTTTTTTAGTTCTGGTAAGCACTTTTTAATTTGTGTTTATGTGAGGGTGATAGTTCTACCCTGCAGCAGTAGTGGAATGCCAGAAGGTGGAGCTAGGGCCAATTAATAGCCAACTGGTAATTTCAGGCTGACCATACATGTATAAAAAATACTTTTTAACAATTTAAAACCTAACTGCTGCTTCTTTGGAAACTACACCACCTTTTAATAAACACTGAAAATCACCTCCCTCCACAGGGTTTTTTTTTTTTTTTTTTTTAATGTACAATGTGGCCCAAAATTAAGGTATGTTTTAATCCATGAAATTCACCACAACAGATTATATGGGTACACATACACCCTGACACAATACAAATTGGCTGTTGCATTTCAATGTCAGTGTGGCAGTTTGAAAGAGTAGTGAAATGTTGCAACATTAATAGACATATGCAAATAAACTATACTGTATACCTACTTTATGTCCACCCTGTATATTAGGGTTATGACATGACTTAAAGGACCACTATAGTGCCAGGAAAACATAATCATTTTCCTGGCACTATAGGGCCCTGAGGGTGCTCCCACCCTCAGGGTCCCCCTCCCGCTGGGCTCTGGGAGAGGAAGGGGTTAAAATCTTACCTTTCTCCTGCACCGGTGCGGGGAGCTTTCCTCCTCCTCTCCTTCCTAGCGACGTCATCGGCTGAATGCGCATGTGCGGCAGGAGCCGTGCACGCATTCAGCCAGTCTCCTAGGAAAGCATTTATGATTTTCACAGTGAGAAGCACGCAAGCGCCTCTAGCGGCTGTCAATGAGACAGCCACTAGAGGCTAACCCTCAGTGTAAACATAGCAGTTTCTCTGAAACTGGTGTGTGTGTGTATATATGTGTGTGTGTGTGTGTGTGTGTGTGTGTGTGTATGTATGTATGTATGTTAATCCTATCTGGACTGTCACCCAGACCACGTCATTAAGCTGAAGTGGTCTGGGTGCCTATAGTGGTCCTTTAACAATCCAGTTCAGTGCAGGTATAAATAGCCTGAGTACACAATGTGAATCAGGAAGAAAACATAGGGAGCCTAGATGGAGGCATCTAGTTCCAGGATAGGTGTTTGGATTTCTTTATTTAATGTTATTTTTCAGACTTCACACAATATTTGCTAAACTGGGACGGTTTTCATTTTTAAAGGAGCTTCAACAATTTATAGATACACCATAAAGAAATGTATTACAAAAGATGCCCAAGAATTATGATATCTTGCTATTCAGGATGTTTTTAGTCATGTAACTTATGACTCCGGAACTTCTTAAAAGCATTATTTTCACATACAAGTTTGCTGTTTGTATGTTGTGTAAATCTTCCTGCATTTATCGCCTTTCTCTTAATGTAGGACTTCCTGTTGCATAACTCTTTTACTCGTGTACATGCCATGTCATAATTTCAGTCTTCATTTAGAAGAACCTGTTGGACACTTACCTGACCTTTTGCTCCCCACCACCGTGATCTCCTTACAGTTCTGTAACACCTGCCTGTGTTAATCAGATTTGCCATGCTTTGGGTAGCTTCCCCACTGTATAGCCTTTACGGACACTCCCCATGGTTTACGACCGGTATTGACAAATTTGTTTGGAATCTAGGAGCCAGTCCTTTTCAATGAGAAATATGCAATTCTTAAAGGGACACTAGTCACCAGAACCAGCAGAGCTTCATGTAGTTGTTATGGTGACTATATACAATGCAGGCGTTTCAGTGTAAACACTGCCTTTTCAGCAAAAAGTCAGTGTTTACATTGCTGCTTAGTAACACCTCTAGTGAGTCACTCAGAATGCCACTAGGGTGTCCTGGGTCACTGCTGCCCCACATGCAGTACTGACGTTCAGGGTCTCCCAGCTCTGCATACAGGCACTGAATGTTCCTCATAGATTCATTAATTCAATGCATCCCTATGAGTTGTGGATTGGCACATTTGCTGCGCATGCACAAAATCCTCCCAATCATTTCCTAAGGGAAAGCATTGACTTAGCTGAGATCATAACGATTGATAATCTTAGCCATTGAGGTGGTACCAGTCACAGTGAAAGTGGCACGGCGTGGGGGGGAAGGGGAGGAGGAGAAAGGTGAGTAAAATCAGAGGTGATCTCACCTCTGAACACAGTCCATCTAAACAATAGCACACTTACTCAGACACCTACTGACACACATCACCATGTTCAGTCATAGATCACTCACTAGCAAACAGACACACACACACACTCTCACACTCTCTCTCAATAGCAGACACACACACAGCCATGGCTGAAGCTTACCTGGCACTGGCAGGTGAAGTTGCCATTTTGTGGCCCTTCTTTGCAGTGATGTCAGCCACGTGTGTAGGGGCGGAGCTTCCATTAAGGGGCGTGGTTTGCATGCGGCCGAAATTAAGGTAAGTTGTGCAGGAAGCCTAATAGGTCTCCCTCCAGCCGCGGGCAGACCAATTGCGGCCGCACCAGACCCCAGCTACTCCCTCATTACTCCCCTCGGACTGACACAGGCTGTCACAGTCCGAGGGGAAAATACTTAAAAAAAAAAAACTTAACCTAATGGTTAGTTTAGATTACTGCGGCCAACCGGGAAATATCCCGGTGGGCCAGTCCGGCCCTGCTAGAGTGGTAGGGAAATGTTGAGTCATATTTTTGCACTCTCTCCAAATCAGGTGAACATGAAGATCCTCTAACACAGGTCCGCATGGCTTTGCTACAATGGTAAACCGCCAGATGTGCTGATTGACCTCTACCACCATTGCTGGTCACCTATTTATTTTTCTCCTCCCACTATTGTCCTAATTAATCAAATGTTCATGGATGACTCGAGTGTAGCAAATCGATAAATGTCAAAATTCCATTTGTACATTTTTCATGAGTGAAACTGAACATGGCTGCTTTTCAGGCTCTGTTGTAGTTATGAAACCTCCATAAGTGTGCAAGTTTCAAGGGTTTGGTGGCAGCCCAGTATGCCATTTGAACCTAATATTGTAACTATACCCAATTCTTCAGATTACTGCAATTGGGTAGAAGCTTCTTGTATCATGTCCCATTTAAACATTGCAAGCTGAATAATTCTAATGTTGTGTAGGGGAAAGGATGTACTGTACTAACACTTTTTTTTTGTTTTTTTTTTTTATATAAATGCCATCCTCGATTGTCTGTAGTACTTTGTCATATTAAAGCCAGAATATTGGGCTTTTCATTTTTTTTAATATATTCTGGAATAAACCATTATAGAAGCCATGTTTTAACTGGAAACTTTGGCATTCAATAGGTTAACTCCTAATACTATTCATGACAAAACATTTCCTCATTAGTAATTTATCACTGCTGATTTTGTACTTGAATGGTTTCTGGCAGAACCTTGTTTAACAGGCTGCTGATCACATGATCTGTTAGCTACATCTAGTAAACAAGTTTCCTTGGAACAGATCTGCTTTTCTGAGAATGTCATTCTGAATTCCATGTATTGACGTTTTCCTCTAGTTCCGTAATCCGTTAATTAAAAGTGGTAAAGGCAAAGTATCTACACACCTAAAGGAAACTACTTGTCTCATTGGCTTTTGTTGTACTAACAATGAATTTGTATTAAATGGTTTTTTTTTTTTTTTTTTTTTTTTTTTTTTTGTTTTTTTTTTTTTTACCGAACATTTAATACATTTTTACATATGGTATTTGTGGATGGATTCATTGCTATTTATTAATGTACAATGATCTAAACCAGTGGTTCCCAATTAACTTTTCCCGTGGAACCCTTTCACATGCGCTAACAACGTGAGACCCCCCCAAAAATGTTGCCGTCGTAGCGCAGATAGTAAACAGTAGTACTTGGGAGCGGGTGTGCTTTTGTGTGTACAGTTGGTGTTTGTATATAATAGCGTTTTGATACAAGGGTGTGTTTGCATTTTCGTGTAGGGGTGTGCTTGGATGTAGTGTGAGCTTTTAAATGCGGATGCACATTTGTGTGTAGTATTAGTGTTTTGAGTGAGGGGTGTGTTTGTATATACATTTGAATTCAGGGGTTATTGTATGTAATGTTTGTAGGGATGTATGCACATGTACGTGTTTGCTGGGATGGTGTATGATTGATTGGGATTTATGCACATGATTGCTGTATGTATGCCACATACATATGCACAGACCTTGACACACAGATGCACACTGGCACATATACACACAGTGACATACACTCAGACACAATTACTCTGACACACATGCGCATATACACACATACACTCCTTAACAGACACACAAAATGTATGTGGGTTTTTTTTTATTTTTTTATTTCACTTCACCCAACCTTTGGGAGTGCTGGCATGGATTCTCTATTTCCCTGGAGTCCAGTGGGGCTGCTGAGCGGCTGGCGTGTGGAGCAAGGGAGCAGTGATCTTATTGCTCAGCTCCCTTGCCGCCTGTCTCAATTAGCGGCGGCCACTTTGTTTCCCGCAATTGTGGCGGAACCCCATTTAGGTTCTCGCAGAACACCAATTGGGAAATGCTGATCTGAACATTTGTCTGTAAGTTGTATTTTTAACAATCCCAGTCTTTATAAAAAATTAAATAAAAAAAAAATTGGCCTATACGTTTGGATAGGCAAAAGGATTGTATAGGTTTTATTTATACATAACTGTAGGTGGATATACCATACCACAGACTACTAGACCTAGGCTTCACTTGTTTCAGACTTTAAATTGCAGTATAATAAATGAACACCCTGGGCACCAGAGCACATTTTACTCTATGGAGCTGGTATGGTGCCTGTAGGTATTGGGCACATCATTCACTTTGGGGGTTAAACCAGCTTGCAAATGGCTTAAATAGAAAGTGGGCTAGACAGCGGCTGTCCTCCAGATCCTTGAGTCTCCTCCATCCTTAGCAGCAATGTGGAGTCTGACTGGATGCCAGTGGGTATCTGTTGACTCTCTTAGCCTATTGTCTGTTTAACATTTGAGAAAAATGCTTTAGAAATGTTTGTACATCTGGGGTTTTTTTTTTTTTTTTTTTTTCCCTAATGTAAAGCTAGTGATAGGCTGAGAGTCAGCTGAGCCTATCACCAGAACTCAGACTGATTCTTTATTGAATGCAGGGATGAACGGAGTGACACAGGGCCTGGAGGACTGGCACAAGATGGAAGTTATGCATGCTCAATGTTCTTTTATATAAAAAGTGCACATCTATATATGTCTGCTTTTCAGTTAGTGCTTCATGCAATGCATGTGCGTCTTTGTGTATATAGATCTCACTACGTATTTGATATATTTCTCCATTTTTACAATGATCTGTTCAGAGTTACTGATTTTTATTTGTATTTTCCACAGACTGAGTGAATTACCATGGAAACCAATGGAGAATGTCACCCCAGCCCTTTCTGGTTGAAAACCAGGATAAGGTGACTTAGAAAGACAAAATGCGTGAAGTTGTGTTGAATTTCAAATGGATTTATACCGTTCTCAAACAGATTAATGTACAGCCATTTGAAGCTTATATTATGGTATTGACAAAAGGAAGCCGCTTTTTATTTTTATTTGTCAACACTTATTTTTATGAGATCTCATAAGGAGTCTCACTATTTGCATATGAAATATTGCTATGTATTTAACAAGCAGGTCAGACTTGTGAAATTGAGCAGAGACTGCTTCCACACTGCTGTTTTGGGGGACTTTTACAGTATAGATCTGCTCTTCGAGCCTTTAAAATAGGTGCCATAGTGGTACCCAACAGAGTAAACTTTATGACTCTCTAAGGAGGTTCCTTAGGGATAGTGACTGTCTGCTTCCTCATTGCTCTATATATTTTTTTTTTATTTTTTTTCTGGTACAAAAACTATTAAATATGTAAAGTTGAAAAATATTTTGAAAGTATCATTTTTTTTTTTTATGTCAAAGTCTACGTATTTTACTTGATCTATATAACAGAAAGATGCCTCCTATGATGAACAAAGATGCATTTCTATGGTACATAACTTTAATTTTAATATTGCAGCTCATGTGATCCCCATTTTATTTATTTTTTGCACCCTACTCATTTTAGAGTATTGCACCTTTGTCTCCTAGGAGTAAATGCGACTTGCTTATCATAAAGGTACATTCATTTTAAATCGGCTATGTATGGTGGAAATAAACATAGGGTACACTTTTTAAAAAAAATATATATAAAAGTACATGTTATTGTGCCCGAGCCTGAATTGAGAAGAGGTAGCATTTCCTAAAAGATGTAAAGATTTGTTTGCCCGTTGATTACATGGGTTTTTTGTTTTTTTTTTCAATCAAAGTTTTCCTAGTAGTACATCTCAAATAAATGAATGGGAGGGCGGGGGGCAACCTTACACCATTAAATAGATGCTCATTGACAATGTGCTACCAATGCTTTGAGGGGAAAAAGGGTTACGCACCTAGAAGAATTAGAATGTTTCTGCATGATGTTGGTGACTAGTAAACTGTTTAAATAGTAATGGGTTTTCATTTTCCTTAGTGTATCTTGCTGCATTTAGTTAGTATTGTGCTCCCATGTAAAAGCTTGGTGTTGTCACTGTGAACCCAGTATGCTGGAGCACAGGCTAGAACTGATTATCTATGTATAACATTTGTTGGCCATCATAGAATAGTTGCAATTTACATCTCTACCACTAAATTAATGAAGCCCTCTTTATCTCATCAGTGAAATGCTTTCATAAGATTGAGAGCTTACCAAATCTAGCCTCATTTCTTGGGGACCATCTAGTAAGGAATGGATATCATGTGTTTTAGTTGCAAGTTGGCGAGTACTATTGTGAATTTACTTATGGTTCTAAGTTTGATTTGCCAATATTGGTGAGGACAATTGTCACTAACATTTTGATATATATATTTTTATTACATAAAAGCATTAAAGATGTTCTTGCTGTGACCATTGCAGAACGAATTGATGCATGTTTACTTCACATGGTTGTAAGGTTTGAGAAATCCAAAACCCTGTATGTACCAATCTTTCATAATGATCCATTCTACACTTTTTCAAATGTACATTTAAATGCCATATTTTTTTTTTATTTTCTTTTATTTATTTTTTAACACCGGCTTTTTATATGGACTTTTTTTTTGTAGATCCACTTTTTTTTTTTTCCTTTCTTTTTTTACCTTGCAGCTGCCAGTTCTAAACTTTATATGGATAACCTCAACCTTAGTTATATGTGAGTTTAAAAAACAAAACAAAAAAAACAGGTACAGCATAAAATATGCAATCTTAGTTTACAAACAAAACTAATTTATTCAGTATTGTGCTGGAACATAACTTGGGAGTATGTAAAGCATCACTAGATATTATCTTCCAGCTGCCAGTTTATGCTGCTGTATAGTTTAAAATTACCAATGCTGAAAGCAGAATTGTTTGTCATGTAAATTTAATTTCATATTGGAAAGTTATTTTGTCTGTACAAATTAATAAAAGATATGGTTGGTACTGTTTGTTGTGTTCTGCCACTGCTTCTTCTACCACCTGTCCAAAGTGGGGTGTTTTCTTTCCTTTTTTTTTTTCTGTAAATGTTAAAAAATGAAACGGTATCTAAGTTGGAGAAACTTTCTTGGGCGTTGCATGAAATGTAGATATGATGCACAAGTATATCTCTCTATCATCTCTCTATCCACGTGAGTCCAGCACTCTCTCTCACGGTCTTGTACTTGCCTGGGTGCTTACTTCAGCCAAAATGTACATAATCCAAGAAATGTGCACTCACAGGACCTTGTAGATGTTTTTCCAATTCTTTTATTGTGCAATATCAATACTCTTCATTTGTGTCAACGTTTCAGTCCTCTATGGTCCTTTTTTTCAAGAGGACTGAAAAGTTGACACAAATGAGGTGTATTTATATTGCACAATAAAAGAAATGGAAAATCTGCAGCGTCCTGTGAGTGCACTTTTCTTGGAATATGTCTGGTAAGTTTGCCTGTAAATATACAGACTGCCCCTTCCTCTGTGCTGTTACTACCTGGTTTAGATCTATTTCCAGTTCAATGGTCAACACAAACTGCCTAAACTTCAAACAAGCTGGTCTTGGCCTCATGCAGCCTACACAGGTATTCATTTTACCTCACTAACGCAAATTCAGCCTATTCAATCGTATATTACATTAGAGATGCCTCCATTCATCTCATGCATTCTGCTTACTGTATTTGGCCCTCATTAGGCCATAGCGACTTTTATCATATTCATTTCAGTTAGTCACCCAGCATTTTAATATTTCTTTATGGCTGCCCTCCGGGTATTCAGGCATGCATTCTCTGTACACAATAAAACTTAAAAAATCCCTTATCTATAAAGGGGAATATCGTCTAAATGTCTAAAAAAAAAAAAGAAAAAAAACCAAAAAATATCATATACATTTTTTGCATTTCAGTTAGTCACCCTACATTTTAATGGTTTTTATGTCTGCCCTCCTGGTATTCAGGCACTTATTGGACATACATTGTTTAGTACTTGTATGGCTAGGTGTTGCAACTGGCTGTCTAAATTTGTCAGGCCCAAACTTGGTCCTATACATGTGGTTTAAGAAAATAGAAATATAAAAAAAGTGAAAATTCCTTATCCTCTTTAAAGGGAATATCTTCTAAATATCAAATTGTTACTAAAACAAACTCATAAAAAATTATCCTTTGCATTAGTTACCCTACATTTTAATGTTTCTTCATGGTTGCCCTCGTGGTATTCCAGCACTCATTGTGCATACAATGTTTAGTGAATATGTGGCTAGGTGTTCCTACTGACTGTCTAAATGTATGTCAGACCCAATCTTGGGCCCATGCATCTGGTTAGCATTTATGGTACTGCCTGTTAATCGGTCTTATTTCACTGTTCATCACTACTTACTTTAGTTTAGCCCTTTCTGTGCTCAACACTGGCCTAGTTAAACATACTTTAATATGTCGGTTATAATGACATCAGGCCCAAACTTGGGCCTATTCATGTTGCCCTGACAAATTTGTCAGGTCCAAATTTGGGCCTATACATGTTAGCCTTTATGGTTCAGCCTTGATGTCATTGTCTTAGCACTTTCTGGGCTCCACACAGGCCTAGTGAATCGTAATTTAAAATTGTCGAGCATAATTATGTCCTCTAACTACTGTATGCTCTTGCACTAGTTTTCTGGTCATTCGCAAATTTACAGTCCGTTTAATACTTTTATTTATATAGCGATAGCGCCAGCAAATTCTGTAGCCCTATAAGGCCTCTAACACAGTGGAGGTATTCGATTTGATAACTAAATGTTTTCTTTGTTTGCTGGCCACATCCGGCCCACCTTCCAGCTGCTCATGCACATCACATTTTACAAACCTGCATACATTTGCTTCACATTCAACCACTCAGGTTCCTTATGCGTTTTAGAAACGGTTCACATCTGTGCCATCTGTAGACCTGATTTCTGTTACACGAACTTGTTTCAATTGTCTTCGACCGCATTTCAACTGGCCCAGGTATTGTAATTACTTTACGGTCATATTCATACAATCCACATGTGTTCAGTTTCTCATGCCGTCATGTTCATTAAGCAAAAAAGCTAATATTACGATGTACTACGATTTTATTTTAGCATGTGCTGTTGCATTCGATCTTTATTCTTCCAGGCTAATTAAGTATTTATCATCCTCCTAAGAGTTCCAGAAGTATGTCCTTTAACCGTATGTCTTATCTCATATGTACACTTGTGTATGGTATATGGCCATCAAAGCCACTAAACCTTTTGCTTACTGTTGCATTCTAGAGACTGTCTGCAGACACCACTATTATTTGGATCGGTGGGTATGTATGAAGTGTATAAGAATTTAAACACTCTCTCTATTCTGTTCAACATTTCATACACTTGATGTTTATTCGTAACTCTACAGTCTCATCAACATGTCCTATACAAATGTTCCACAACCACAGACTTTTTCTGTTTTGCATTGTACCGATCACCCACATTAATCCCAACACTGATCATGCAGGCACCCTGTAACGCTAGACTCAATTGGGCCTTCCCACCCCTGTCGGTTTATACGCATATTTCCAACACGCATCCTCACTAAGAATTATCATGGTTGTTCATATGCCTGGCAGTGGGCAACCAACCTCGTCCTATTCTGGCAACTCCCTTGATTATTTTCCATTACATCTGTCTTACTGGGGTTGCATACAACCCCATTATACCACATGTTATCAAGAACGCACATATCCTTCAGGCCCTCCTTGAGTAACTGTAATTCCATCATCACCTACATTATCTTTACCTCAATTTAAGCACTTTGGTCCACCTGCATTTATTTGGGTGGTTTTTATTATCTTCTTCATAGGTCTCATATTAAAACTGTGCGCAAATTGTAAGTAAATATGATAACTGGTCTTGTTTCAGGTCCTAAGCCTTCACACGCGGCCTCACTAGGCCTTCATTACATTCCTATCATATGGCCCTCTGTGGGTGGCATTATGACATGCCTACCCCTCATGTGGGCTTTGCATAAGTACCTTCCTGCTGCATGGGAGAGAGATGCACACTACTCCGAACAACATTTCATTACATCACTTAGTCTCGCTAGGCCTATCTCAGCCGGCTACACTCACTTGTAAATTAATCCCTTATTCTAAGCATTGTCACTTTATTATTGCACAGTAATAACAAGTATTATGTATCAGGACACCACATACTCTTCGGTGTTGGTGATGTACTAGTCCTCCTCTGGCCTTAGATGGCCTCTGATTACATCTTGCCTAACTGATCTTCCTACAATTCCTATAGACCAGACCTTACACCGGGATTTAACTACTTCTATACCATAAGAGTACCCTTCATTTCTTCATTCCATATATCTATTCCCCTTATCCAGCTCTATTTCTGTATCATGCCACTCAAGACCTATTCTCCAGCTTCACTCTTCCTACACATTTTTCTCTCTTCTCATACTAGGTCACTTTGATCTTTAACAGAATTTGTAAGTAACAGTTGTTTAGTCATATCCTTAATGACACTACACATACTCGTCATCATTTGGCATCAGTCTTTAAGATCCCTCCACCACATTCCACAATGCCACCCTTCAGTCTACTCTTCCTACCTTTACATTTGTACGGGTCTACACCAGGACATCCCTAATGGCATTCTAAACATACATCGGATTATCCTTTAAATTGTTCACTTCGTACATCGGTTACCCCTTTTCAACGTTTTCTCCTTTCTGCAGCTCATGACTTACTTTGGGCAATCTCTGACTTCCACTACGGTACCTCTACACACAGCCATCACTAACCCTTAACTCCATACATTATACACTGCCCTCTGTGGCAACTGCTACTACTGTTACCGCACATCAATAGGGCACTTAAATACATTTAAAATAAAAAAAATACAAACCTTCCATTCTACGTTTCAATATTACACATGGCCTCGGTAGGCCCATGTATGTTCTTACCATACAGCCCTCTCTCAGAACACTCCCAATAACTTTTGGAGCTCTCCCGTAGCAGTAGCATATCCTGGCTTCTTTGATCTGTCACTAATTTAACTGTATTAAACTGTATCCTCACCTCTTATTTCAGGCTCGTACTTAATTTGCATCATGCTAGTACGATAGGTGGTTTCCAGGTGATTAAATTCTCAGGCTGTTCTTTTGCATACTTAACTCAGTGATTCTATTCTTGCTAGGGTTCATGTTATATTGCGTTACATGCTTATCCTTACGTAAAGTCTCTGTCTACTTCTTACCAGTCGTTGCATATTTTGGGGCCGATTGTCAGATATGGTCAACCGGGTATTTACTATGCTGTTCAATTTCTTTCAGTTAGGTTGAGTATGTAGAGTAATTTGGTGTTCTGGGCTCATAGTACCTAATCTACTTTTCTGGCACAGACTGTTGCTAAACAATTGTTCAATGTTAGTAACATAGTTCTAAATTGTGAACGCTAAGTTCTCTGGAGTAACTTTCGGGTTTTGGTTCATTTAATCACTGTACAAGTATTTCCTTGCCCTTTATTACATTTTCACTTATTACTATCAACTTTCATTTATCATCCAGATATACGTCTATTTAGTCATGTCACTCGTGAACTATTTCAACTTTCACATTTTCTATCACCTCCTTATGTACAATAATCACTTGGTCTGGCTGTTAGGGTATCTGAAGAGGCCATAGGTAGATTTCAGCCTCTTGTGCCATTACATAGCTGTCCCACGAGGCCAACTCAGCAAAGGTATTTCGCCCCTTGGACCAAATCAAAGTTACTGTCTCACATCTGCGCCCTCTTGGAAAAGCAGTGGTGCCCAGTGGCAAAACTACCCCACAGGCCAAATCCGAGGTAGAGCCTCTCGTCGTCACTTGGCACCTACTGAGGTTTCCAAGTCACCAATTTAGCTTAATCGTTTCATCATTTCGCTTAACAAGGGTCATCCAGTACTTGGGTGTTATACAGTGTCTCCCATTAACAAATTGTTTCTCTTTCAGAGAAACCATTTCATGTTGATAAATATTAAAGTATTGGCTATGTAATGCCAACATGTATTAAGCGGTCAACTATTAAACTTTTGTCCTCTCTTTCCAGGCCTACCCGAACGTCGGTTCCCGTACACCACAACAGACTTATGCCACCACTATTGTAACTCTGCTTATTGTCCCTGACCACAAATAGAAGGCTGAGCCTGTGGGTGAAGCCTGGAATTGTGGGAGGGGTTAGTTTGCCGATAAATATAAAGGCTGCCTCTTTCTCAGTGCTTTTCCTGCGTGGCTCAGCCCACCCACCCCTCCCATATCAAACTATTCAATTTGGTGGGCCCTCTTTTTACAGGCCTACCCGAACGTCAGTTCCCGCACAAGACATGCCACCACTACTATCACTCGGTTTATTGTCCTCAACTACAAATATATAAATATATTCTGCAAATTAAGAGGTGCACTCAAAGGTCTTGTTCCAAGTGATTCTTTAATAATTACATCAGAACTTTGTCTGTCCCGATTGACGTTTTGACCCTAAGGGTCTTTTTCAAGATCAAACATACAGTGTAAACCATGATTTTCAATTAGAAATAATGTAAAAGCCATATACCAATCCAGTGTGCGTGCAGCCCGATTCCCTCTGATCCCGGAAGTGAACAGGCGCGAAACGTGATGTGTGTATGTACGTATTTGCAGGGTTGCTAAGTAACGTGTAAAGATAATTAAATTGTGTTTATCCCTGAAAACTACAATGGGGAGCGGTCTGGCGTCCCTGAAGAAGGGAAACCAAGCCCCTCCCACAACTACAGGTCAAGCCTTATATTTGTGGTCGGGGCAAAAGCCGTAATGAGAGCATATTAGAAGTAGATATGTAAGGTCCCTCCACTATATGAGATCTATAGTAATGTGAAAAGGTCGGTAGTGGTTTGCCAGAACAGACTATGTGCTGGGCCTGTAATAAAAGAGGGCAAAAAGAGTATACCATACAGAACTATACAGCCTACAAATCAAGCATATTACAATATATTACATATACATGTTATGGAACGTTTGGTGTATTTAAGAACAGGTTGATGTATATATCTGGAGTAGGCTGAGGCCTCCATAGTCTCAACGTCCCATTAATATGTACAGAATGGTCCTGGAGGTATGATTGTCAGCACTGATGTGGAAGGAGTGACCGTCTTAATTAGCTAAATTAAGAGGTTATCTGCCGATGCAGTAAAATGCTGAGATAAAGTCTGAAAATACTTGTCATTAGAGTATAGTCGTGTAAGGCTAGTAGGAGCAGATCAGGGGAACCTTGAACAGAGATTAGGTCGTTATCCAGCATTATTACTGACAGAATTGTCAAATGTAACTTAGTAGTTTTAAAAATATTTAAGTAAAAGGTGGCAAAATAAGTGAAATCGACCGTTGACCTTGAGCACAACATAAAATCTTGCCATAACCGGATTAAACTACAGACCCTCTGCGGAAAGTCTGCAATGGAGAACAAGGTAAGTGAGGGATATGGTCATGTGTCGATAAAGTAGTAATTAGTAGCTGACCAAGTCAGTATTCTCACTGAGTGCATATTACAAGATCTGCTCGAGGCACATGCAGATATGTGAGAAATGCCATTGGTGAGCCAAACAATTAAATGACACTAGAGTTATGATATAGGAACCGAGGATAACATAATCGCAAATACAAACATAACAGTGAGTACAATAGTTCGAAATAATGAGCCGCAAGAGCGTGAGTGAATACATGCGAGCATACATATATACAAATGAAGATATGTATATTGTGGTTATCTGTGATTTGTAAACCCGGCATCAAACTGATCCGGTCAGTAGTGACACCTGTTATTAAGGGGAGCCAAGGTGAATGACAGTATAGAAAATAAGTTTTAGTAAGGGACTAATACCGTAAGCTAAAGGAGGCATGCTGTGATGTTTAGATGAGAAGCTGAATTGTACGAGTAGAGAAAATTACCCTGAATGAATATAGCCGCTTCTATGTACGAGGAGGGAAGTGGTTCAACCTAAATATTATCATAAGATATATCCCCTTGATCTGCGTGGAATACATGTAATCTAGATCCTAATTTACTTGTGATGTAGACAGTCATTATCCCGTTTGATATCTTGATCATACAGAAACATGCACTGAATATTGAGTTATGTAACGTATGCTCGAATGCATATGGAGGAGTGTAAGGAGACAGCCGTTCGTAAAAGTCAGTTTGAATGTATGCACAATACGTAAAGGAGAACGGAGTGAGGTCTTGAATTGATATGTACGTGAATGAAATGTAATGTTGAATCCATGTGGATAGGGCAACCTATCCACATGGATATTGGGGCATGTGTTCCTGTTAACTGAGGTACTCCACATTATTGAGGGATACTTGCAGGGACATTTAATCTTATCGGCACCCATGAAGGTGCTATAGGGAGAGTGTACGAGTTTGCCAGCAGATTGTAGCGATACTATGAGTGTACAATTATATGAATAGAACTAAGGTTATATGGCTGTTTAACCCCTTAAGGACCAAACTTCTGGAATAAAAGGGAATCATGACATGTCGTGTTCTTATGGGGTTAAATCTTTTAATTATCTTTAATGTGACTGACTATTCACAAGTGTCTATATAGACCTTATCAATTGAGCAATACTCTAGCTGAACAGGCACCCATGCAGCAATCTATGGATAGTTTAGTCGACTTTGCTCACTACCTACAGGTAATCCGTTAACATCTAGGCAGACATAAGCAATGGAGTTGCTCCTAAATTGAATAGATGCATTTGTTTAATCTGATGGACAATACAGCTGCCTATTTCACAATTTAGCTTCTATTTCTACTTTAGAAGTGTTGATGTAGAAATAATTAGTACAATTTAGAATCTGTGACTGGATTAAATTCTTATCTTTGTCCTTATAGTATTCTATTATCTC